TTTTTTTTTTTTTTTGAGACAGAGTCTTGCTATGTCGCACTGGCTAGACTGCAGTGGTGTCATCATAGCTTACTGCAACCTCAAATTCCTGGGCTCAAGAGATCCTCCTGCCTCAGCCTCTCAAGTAGCTGGGACTACAGGCGCACACCACCATACCCAGCTAATTTTTTCTATTTTTTTCGGTAGAGATGGGGTCTCGCTGTTGCTCAGGCTGGTCTTGAACTCCTGACTTCAAGTGATCCTCCTGCCTTGGCCTCCCAGAGTGCCAGGATTACAGGCATGAGCCACTGGGCCCTGCCTCAGCATATTCTTGTATTATTCAGGATAGGCTGGGCTATGCTGAGACAATATCAGCCCCAGAATAGCAGTGGTTTTGAAACAATAAAAATTTATTTCTGGCTCATGCTATATCCCTGTCTTGGAACAGCTGTGGCTGTACTTAACATTATATCTACACTTTGATTAAGACCCATTGTGGTTGAGCACATCTACCTGGAACATTATCACCAGCCTTGGAGCAGAGGCAGAAACTTCATGGGGAAGTACTGTTGATGCTTAGAGCCTTCTCCCAGAAATGGCACATTTCACTTCTCATATATTAATTGATTGAAGGAAGTCACATGGCCATGCTTGTCTTTAATGTGAAAGGGAAGTATATCCTTCCCAAAGGGAAAAGGAAGGGGTGGGGCAGTAAATATTTTATGACAGTATTACAGTCCATCACAATTCTAAAAATATTACCTTTTTTTGTTTCCCACTATGTACCTAGCACATTGCCTGCCTCTTAACCTCTCTGTACTTCAGTTTCCCATAATAATAGTACATATCTCATAGGGCCATTGGGTCAGTTAAATGTGTTAATGTACATAAAGTACTTAGAACAATAGCTGGCATAAAGCAGGCACTCAGCTAAACAGGCAATTACAATGTGAAATAACAAGTGTTACAGTGGGGGAAGGAAAGTACAGGAAAATATGGGAATCCTAGTCTAGGGCTCAAACCTGAAAGATAAATTAGCTTAGTGAAGCGGTTAGAGGAAGTGGTAATATGTTCTGAGGCAGAGGAAGCAGAATGTGCACAGGCTTCTGGGCAAGAGAGAACATGCCTCTGATTTCCTGAAAATATGTCATGTATCCTTGAGGTCTGATTGAGACAAACTATAGATATTAAGAGTAAAAATAATGTCACAAGTTTATATTTTCAAGAAAGTTTAGCCTCAGAAAATTTTAAGTGTAAGTATTTTGTGTATGTTCTTACTGAAGTAATTGAAAGCTTAAAATATTTGCAGTCATTTCATTAAATATTGTCAATTTGATTTATCACAGTTCTGTCTCTTCTATAAATATTTTTTTTTCAGGCATACAAATGGTGCATTGAGGCAATGAAAGAAATCACAGCAGGCTTGCCAGTCAAAGTCGTGGTGGATGTTTTAAGACAAGCTTCTAAGGTGAATATAATGTTAAAACTATTGAATGAATTATAGGATTTATCGGACTTTAAATTTGTTTTAATTAACCTATTTAACATAATTTTTCTGTACTCCATAGACATAGGTCAATTTTCAAAGTTTCTGTGCTCGTTTTTAGAAATCTGGTTTCTAACTACACTATCCCACATAGACTTTAGCTAATTTTCCTTTACCAAGAAAACCTGTGAAATAATTTGAAATTGTTTCAGCTCAGTGAAGTACAGATCAAAGTAGTATTTGGAGACTGGGCGTGGTAGCTCATGCCTGTAATCCCAACAGGGATTTGGGATTTCTTTGGGAATCTTGCATGATACCAACTACACCAGCAGCACTGATTGTAATTCCAACACTTTGGGAGGTCAAGGTGGGAAGATTGCCTGAGGTCAGGAGTTGGAGACCAACCTGGGCAACATAGCAAGACCCTGTCTTTTAAAAAATATATATTTAAAAAAAAAAAACAAACAATTAGCCAAGCATGGTCATATGCACCTGTAGTCCTAGCTACTTGGGAGGCTGAGGCAGGAGGATTACTTGAGCCCAGGAATTTAACAGTGCAGTGAGCTATGATCATGCCATTGCACTTGAGCCTTGGCAACAGAGTGAAACCTTGTCTCAAAAAAAAAAAAGGCTGGGCATGGTGGCTCAAGCCTATAATCCCAGCACTTTGGGAGGCCAAGATGGGAGGATTGCTTGAGGCCAGGAGTTCGGTACCAGCCTAGGCAACATAGCAAGACCCCATGTTGACAAATGTGTATATATAAATTAGCTGGGTGTGGTGGCATGCACCTGTAGTCTTAGCTACTCAGGAAGCTGAGGCAGGAGCAGCCCTTGAGCCTAGTAGCGCAAGACTGCAGTGATTGAACCAATGCACTCCAGCCAGGGTAACAGAGCAAGACCCTGTCTCTAAAAAAATAAAACAAAAAACCTAAGTAGTATTAATATTTGGGAGCCATTCCAGCTTGAGTTTGTTTTTGTTTTTCTTAGACATTTATAGCAACCTTATGCCAAAATTGTGTGGGCTTTGGTCACTATTATCCTAAAGGATAGCCTACTATTAAATCTTTTAGTCATAGTATTGCACTCTCATAGCAAAACAGCTTGCTATACTTGACTCACTAAGTAATCCTTATTTGATTTTTCTCTATTATTTTCTTACTCTATAAATAAGTGCCTTACCTCTTTGAAGCCATTTAGTGGTATTTTAAAACTGTTCTTTTGGTGTAATGAAACCTTAAAGCATTAATGTACTTTCAGATACATTCTTTCTATCTAGAAGTTTCCCAAATTTGAATATTTCACTTCGGTCAATTTTACTTATGTAAATTCGATTAGAAGAAAGATTCCTAAATTGCAAATTTAGAAGAGGATAAGATTTCTGTGAAATATATTAAATCAGTCATTTTAGAGCAAGTAAACATCATAGATGTCTCGCTGTGTTGCCCAGGCTCGAGTACAGTGGCTTTTCACAAGTGTGATCATAGCACACTACTGCTTTAGCCTCCCAGGTACCTGGGAGTACAGGCATGTGCTATGGTTCAAAATAATTTTAAGAAATAATAGGAAGCCATGCATGGTGGTGCTCTCCTATATCCCAAGCACTCAAGAGACTGAGGCAGGAGGATCACTTGAGCAGAGGAGTTCAAGGGCAGCCTGGGCAACGTAGTGAGACCCTCATCTCTTTAAAAAAGAAAAGTGAAAGAAAAAGGAAAGAGAGATAATAGGAAAACTTGAAATCTGTGCATTTATAAATTATTAGGTGAAAACTATAAAACATTGTTTTCAGCCACTCCAGAACTAATATATAAGTACCTTCGAAAATACTGTGGTAAATCTCCCCCCCACCACCATTTTAGTTTAATAATATGGAAAAATGGGAGTACACCAACATTGTAAGGTAACTTTGTTGTAATAGGCTTGTACTAGGAATGACTTAAAACTTTAAACTCTATAATTTTCCAGGTTATATACAGATCTGTTTATAATAGAATTTTTAAATACTTGGAAAGAAATTACAAATAGAAATAGAAGCCATCTATTTACGTTTGGAGATTTTTTTTTCTTATCGACTATTATAGCCAGAATATATAAACTATACTTATTTTAGCACACTTAATGAACTGTTTCAGAGTTACTTAACAATTTTTCACTTTATCTTTAGGCTTGTGTAGTAAAACGTGAATTTAAGAAGGCAGAACAGTTAATTAAACATGCAGTATATTTGGCACGGTAAGTGATTGTTATTTAAAATATCATTTTAAGTTGTCTCTCCACTTTGTATCCTAATAGTTTTGTATCTTTTTATAGGGATCATTTTGGATCCAAACACCCAAAATATTCTGATACACTGCTAGATTATGGGTTCTACTTACTCAACGTAGATAATATCTGTCAGTCTGTTGCAATTTATCAGGTATGTTAATGGTTATCCTTTTCTTCTTTAAACCTAAACTGACTTGTTGACCTGTATTTGTTTGCAGTCTATAAGCCACTCTTTAGAAATAACTCTTTTACCTGGTATTCCATTTTTAAAGATAAATAAATAAATAAACAGCTCTAAGCTTCCCCCAGACACATACATAGGGCACACCATTATTTTATTAAGTATTATGTAGAAGACTTAAAAGTTAATGTTTTAGGAATTAAAGAAAATCATTAAGAAAAAGAATTGTTGGATTGTAGGCTCATATTTAGGAGTACTTTTCCATTTTTTATTTGCCCAAATGATGGCTTGTCTTTGTTGACTTAGCAAATGTCACTATAGCTGCCTTTGTAACAGCAAGGAAGGCCGTCGGTAATCATTTTAGGCCTTTTTTAGTCATTCTCAGGTAATTGCTCTAGACAAGATAGCCTTGATTTTACAGTTCACTTTTAAAGAAGGACATAGAGAAAAACATTGATGTGACTTCCAAGACATAGGAATGATTAATATTATTTTTTTCTTTGTTTTTTTCCACACCTGGATGGAAATCCAATTGATTATTATTATTAAGCCATTGCTTTTTAAGTCAGACTCCATCTTAAAAAATTCAGGCATTCTAGGTGACTTTCATGTTCTGTTGATTTAAATACAGCAGGATTTTCTTGGCTTCAAAACTTATGGGATTTAGTGTATAGAATATACATTTAAATTATTAGGATCTTTAAATAGGTCATCTTTTCAGAAGGTTTACAGTATTAACAAATATTTTTATGATTCTTTCAGGCCGCTCTTGACATTCGACAGTCAGTGTTTGGTGGCAAAAATATCCATGTAGCAACAGCTCATGAAGACTTGGCTTATTCTTCTTACGTTCACCAGTATAGCTCTGGGAAATTTGACAATGCGTTGTAAGTTCCATATTCCTTTTCTGTGAAGGATTAAATACTGTACTAAATGTACTTTATGGATTAAATTTGTCTTCCTGGAGCTTTAACAGGATGCCTAAAATGTTCTCGAAGTCATTTAAAATCATACCAATTTATTGGCCATTCATTTAGCCTTTATGTGGTTTAATATTGAGACTTGTATATCTTCATATACAGCATGACTTATCTTTTGAGTATTTCATTCAGTAATTTCTCTTTGAATAATATAGTAGCCTCTGGCTGAACAGAAAACTTAATAACCTAAAAACTTTTTGCTCAGAACATACAGAAATACTGAATAAAGTATAGCAATCATCTTTTTTAAATGCATAACTGAGTTTGCAAGCATGAGGGGAAATCTCCAAGGGCCATAATGGACACTATAATCCAAAGGATTAGACATGGACTATGGTATAACTGCTCTGGGGTGATGAAAAAGCTTAAGAGGTTTCTATAACCTTGGTTGAACATTCCTCGGTTTAAGAGACATTTAACCCACAGGAGGCGGGGTGGGGTGGGGGGAGATTAGAACTGAAACCCTCACCTGAAACCAAGATCAAGGCTACACCCTCAGGGAAAGGACAGACTGGGGGAAAAAAATCTGTCCATTGGTAGAGAGATGACAAGGATACTTGTCCATCTGTGCTTGGGGTAACAATTGAACCCCAGAAAAGATCCTCACAGGGAAATTGATAATTACAAACCTATACCACTCTTGAGTTTGGTGATAGTACATACAGGACCCCCAAGCAAAGAAAAACATTTAAAAGCACTTTGGGGCAGCTAGTTCCCCTGGGACACCTTGTGGGAGAAAATGTAAAACTCTTGGAAATAATGAGCCATCAACCCAAACTATATAGAAATCTTATAGATCTAGCTCTATCTAAAATGAATTCACCATTAAAAATTACAAAATACGTAAGGAGACTTTTCCTCTGAGTCAGCAGACAAAATGAACAGGATTAAAACTTTAGTTAACAGAACTTTTTGGTTGATGCTATAGAGTATATATTCGTAAATGACTAAGGACATAAAGTAGGTTGGCAAACGATGGCCTGCTGGCAAAGTTTTACTGGAACATAGCCGTGCTCATTTGTCCATGTATTTTCTATGGCTGCTTTCACACTACAGCAGCAGGGTTGAATAGTTGCAACAGAGAATGTATGGCCAACACTATCTAAAATATCTGGCCCTTTGCAGGAAAAGTGTGCTGACCTTGATATAAAAGAAGGAATCAGTAATATTTTAGAGGAAAAATAAAATAAAGAAAAAAGTCAGATTTTAAAATAAAACAACTGATACTTGCTATATACAACATAAGTGAACCATGAAACATTGTCCTTAGTAAAAGAAGCTAGTCACAGAGGATCACATATTGTATGATTCCATTTATGTGAAATGTCCACAGTAGGCAAATCCAGAGACAGAAAATAAATTGATAGTACTTAGGTTGAGGAGTTTGAGGGAAATGGAGAGTGGCTGCTAATAGGCATGAGTTTCTTTATGGGAAGATGAAAATATTCTAAAATTGAGTGATGGGTGTACAACTCTGTGACTGTACTAAAAACCAACTGTACACTAAATGGGTAAATTGTGTGCTATGTGAATTCTATCTTAATAAGAGAAGCAAAAATGGAAAGTAGTCATTGACACGAAAACTCAGAAGACAAGTTAAATAACAGATTAGTTACAACTAAAGAGAGAATTAGTAAATTGGAAGACAAATTTGAGAAAATGGTTACCTGGAAGATGAGGGTAGGACGCTAGAGTTGTTTGAAAGGAACTGACAGATAAAATAGGTAAATGGCTTTCCTTGTATTTGGTGAGATGGGCCAAAAACAAATAACCCAACCTGTCAGGCGAGAATACATACTGTTATGAAGAATAAAAATATGCTAAACTAAGTTTAGAGAGTGATGATAGATTTCTATTTTAAGGGCCTTTTAACTGGTCTGTTCTGGTAAGGCCTGTTCAGTAGGAGTGAGCCATGTGGAAGATCACAGGAAGAGCAATGCAGAGGGAAGGTAAAACAAGTACAAGGGTAAGAATGTGCTTTGCCTATTTAGGAAACTGCTAGGCCTGTTTTGCTGGAGGGAAAAAGAGGATTAATCTGAGGATGGTAGGAGATGAGGTCAGAGAAGTAGAAGAGTAAAAGATGTAGAGCCTTGTAGGCCATAATAAGGACTTCCTGTTTTATTCTGAGGGAAACAGGAATCCACTGGATGTTAAAAGTTCAGTCCACAACAGATTGGAAATTTAAAATAAACAAAAAACTGGTTCTTTACCACAAATAGTTTTAGAGGTACTCTCTATTAGTATTATATTACAGATTGTGATTTTTTTTAAGTCTTAAATCATTTGAATATTTATCTGTGTTGCAGATTTCATGCAGAAAGAGCTATTGGTATCATTACCCACATCCTACCTGAAGATCATCTTCTTTTGGCTTCTTCCAAGAGGGTGAAAGGTATCCTTTATAATCTAGTCTCAGATATTTTTAGATAATATGTGTATAAAATAGGGGTATTTGTTTATTTTCTTAGAGGTAGTACCACAGGATTAGACTGTATTACTAAGATAGCCAATTCACTGCAACTCACGGGTTTCCAGTGGTTCATAATGAAAGATTATTTGCTTCTCTCATACAATGTTGTTCATAAGCCAGAATTTCTTTCTTTTCTCTCCCTTTTTCTAATCCATTCTTGTATGCATTAATTTCTTTTGAAGATTGCATGGAGGAATAACACAAATGATTCCACAGTAACATGGATAGAAAACTAAAGATGAGTTTCATAGCTTTATAATGCAGGATTTTTTTTTTTTTTGAGACAAAGTCTCACTCTTTTGCCTGGGCTAGAGTGCCGTGGCGTCATCCTAGCTCACAGCAACCTCAAACTCCTGGGCTCAAGCGATCCTCCTGCCTCAGCCTCCCGAGTAGCTGGGACTACAGGCATGCGCCACCATGCCCGGCTAATTTTTTCTATGTATTTTTAGTTGTCTGATTAATTTCTTTCTATTTTTAGTAGAGACGGGGTCTTGCTCTTGCTCGGCTGGTTTCGAACTCCTGAGCCCAAACAATCCGCCCGTCTCGGCCTCCCAGAGTGCTAGGATTACAGGCGTGAGTCACCATGCCTGGCCCATAGTGCAGGATTTTTAAACTGAGCTTCATATCATGTCACCCTGAATGTTGCAAGGCTCTTGCCAAATAACCACTTTCTTCCTTTTCTTATTTTAACTTTTCTTTTAATCACCACCAAGGCTTTTTAATGCATTTATTTTGCTAACATGATTGGGTCACCCATGTAGTAATTCCATGCATGTTGGGTAAGTTTTACCTTCGTTCTGGAACTAGGGTTTTTTCCCTGTAGGTTTGCATTTTTTTAACTTATACAAGTAATACATGATTAATATCAAAAATTAAGAGTCAGATAGAAAAGAGAGAAAATAAATTAAGTTGCCTGAAAATTCCACCAATTCTGAAATCCTGAATCAACATTTTGGTTAATATCATTTTAGGCTTTGTTTTGTTTTGAGACAGAGTCTCACTCCATTGCCCTGAGTAGAGTGCCATGGCATCAGCCTAGCTCACAGCAACCTCAAACTCCTGGGCTCAAGCTATACTCCTGCCTCAGCCTCTCTAGTAGCTGGGACTACAGGCACACGCCACCACACCCAGCCAGGCTTTCCTTTTTTTAAATAAGATAATTAAATGAATGAATAATTTTTTAGTTTTATAATCTGATTTTTTCACTTAATATATAATGAGCATTTTTCCATTTCAATACATGTCCTTTTTTCTAACGTTTTTAACCTCCCCTCTATTATTAGATCTTTATATTGTTTTTAACCTGTTGTTCTTTCTTTAAAAATGGTACGGTGAAGTAAATCTCTTTTACTTACCTTTGTGCACATAGTTTCCCAAGAAATAAAATTACCTGGTAAAAGGATATGTATATTTTTAAGACATTAGATGGAATTTGAGTCTTGAATGCAGCTTTGAAATTGAAATGTCTTCTTGCCTGATTTGGTTGGTCAAGTGAGTGGGAGGTAATCGGTTCTTTAGCTGTGTTTGGTTAAAGGTAATGTTTTATAAAGTATAGTTTCAAAGTTATCAAAAGTGCTTAGGTACTCCTTGACACAGTTTCATAACTTTTAAAAATATGCCTCTTCCTTCCATTTAATTGAAAAAACAAATTCACACCACAGAGTATAGCAATCCGTTAAAAGCTAATTCTGCAAAATAATTTGATGTATAACATTGTCTTTCTTAAATTTGAATTCATTATACTGTGCAAAATAAAATGACCCCCCAAAAGTGTACTGTTTTGTTAAAGTGGCATACTTTCATCTTGACCAATTCTAAATCATAACCACATGTAGATATATTCAATAAATGTTTCTGTCATTTAATTTTGAGTTAGACTTTCTGATTAGCTTTGGTGCACTAATTTATTGCTTTCTTTATTCAGCACTTATTTTAGAGGAGATTGCAATTGACTGTCATAATAAGGAAACTGAACAGAGGCTGCTTCAAGAAGCTCATGATTTGCACCTGTCTTCACTCCAGCTCGCTAAAAAAGCTTTTGGGGAATTTAATGTACAGACGGCAAAACACTATGGAAACCTTGGAAGACTTTATCAGTCCATGAGAAAATTTAAGGTAGAAACATGTTTTACTGTGTTTTTCTCTCTCTTAATAATCTTAAATAATAAAGTAAAATCTTAAATAATAAATACATCTTCAGTAATCTTAAATAATAAAGTATACATTCATTATATTCCTACCTTATTCCATGAAAAAATTGTGAAAATAGCTAGTATAAAACAACATAGTCAGAATATAAATAAAATTAGGAAGTCAGGACCATGGAAAAATAGGAACTATGTCAAACCAAAAAAGGCTAATATGATTGTTAGATTTCAAACATAATTTTTAGGCCAGGCACGGTGGCTCACACCTGTAATCCTAGCACTCTGGGAGGCTGAGGTGGGAGGATAGCTTGAGCTCAGGAGTTCAAGACCAGTCTGAATAAGAGCGAGACCCCATCTCTACTAAAAATAGAAAAATTAGGTGGGCGTGATGGCATGCACCAGTAATCCCAACTATTCGGGTGGCTGAGGCACGAGGATCGCTTGAGCCCAGGAGTTTGAGGTTGCTGTGAGCTAGACTGATGCCACGGCACTCCACTCAGGTGTCAGAGCAGTACTCCATCTTAAAAAAAAAAAAACCTACACAATTTTTAGCTTAAGTATGTGTAGCTCTTAGCAGAATGCCTGGCATGTAGTTGGTATACAAGAAATGTGAGATATTACAAGTATTATAATATTAATTATAGCAATAAAAATTACTGACTTTAATTCCCTTTTTAGAATTTTTGATTATAAATTCTTAATATTCTTCATTTTTGGATCACAGTAAGGAAAGAGTGAGAGGTCTGCCTAAGATGTTCATTTTTACCTGAAAATGAATCTGTATATTCCTCAATTAGCCTGAATTTAGTTTGTTGGAGAAAAATTGTCAAAACTCCAAAAAATAAAATGAATTGTGTACCTGTGTAAATTAACATATTATGTAATGGAGCTTCTTAACAAGGTTCAATTAAATTTTGGACTGTATTAACTAAAAGAAATAATTATTTTAGGATGTTTTGTTAATTTCTTGTAAATGTCTTCTAACAATTTTGTATTACCAAGATAAGTTTTCACTTGTCACTTTTGGCAAAGAATACTATTACTATTGTCAGCTTATATGCAGTTTCCAAAAACCAGTAATGCTTCCCATAGGCAGCTCTTGGAATAACATAGTATGATTTTTGATCTGATTACCTTATGGCATTCTTAAGATGTCCTCGGCATTTAGAAGAATCTTGCTCATTGAGTAAGAACTGTTGAGATAAGAAAAAAGTATAATATAAGGCCGGGCACAGTGGCTCACGCCTGTAATCCTAGCACTCTGGGAGGCCGAGGCTGGAGGATCGCTTGAGCTCAGGAGTTCTAGACCAGTCTGAGCAAGAGCGATGCCCCATCTCTACTAAAAATAGAAATAATTAGCCAGGAACTACTAAAAATAGAAAAAATTAGCTGGGTGTTGTGGAGCTCCACTTTAGTCCCAGCTACTCAGGAGGCTGAGGCAAGAGGATTGCTTGAGCCCAGGGGCTTTGAGGTTGCTATGAGCCAGGCTGATGCCATGGCACTCTAGCCCAGGCAACAGAGCAAGACTCTGTCTCAAAAAAAAAAAAAAAAAAGGAAAAGAAAAGAAAAAGAAGTATAATTTAATGATTGATTTGGCATAATTGTCTTTCAGGAAGCTGAAGAAATGCACATCAAAGCAATTCAGATTAAAGAGCAACTTCTCGGTCAAGAAGATTATGAAGTAGCCCTTTCAGTGGGACATCTGGCTTCTTTATATAATTATGACATGAATCAGTATGAAAATGCTGAGAGACTTTATTTGCGATCTATAGCTATTGGTATGTTACCTTTCAGTTTTCTTTAGTCAGTTGATTGGAGATCAACATGTCTTACATGTTGTATAAGGGAAATGTATTACTAGGACTTAAATAGGTTTAAAGCTGCTAAGGATATTCAGTAACCACCCAAAAATCATCTGGAACCTTTTGCTTTTTTGATGTTGAAGTCAGTAGTAAGAGGTGTGACAGTAGAGAGTCAAGGGTAGGCGAAAGTAGTTATTTTAAACTATTTGTGCAATTACTACCCCCTTTTCCCTCCCCCTCCTTTCTCCTGTCAGACTTCAACATCATAGATCAGGTTTACATGCTTTTGAACTTGATGTAGATGAAATCATACAATGTATATTTTTATGTGTCTGGCTTCTTTTGGTGAACATTAATTGTAAAATCCGTGATGTTGCCTATCACTGTCACTTGTTCCTCTCCAGTGCTGTCTATTGGATTAATATATCATTATTTATCCAGTCCACTGTTAGTGAACATTTAGAACTTTGGGGTTATTTCCATTTCATAGCTATTACAAAAGAAGGTGCTGTGGCCATTATCTTATGAAGGCCTGTTAAAACTCTTGCCCATTTTTACATTGAATTGTCTTGTCATTTTCTTATTGACTTAGAGAAGTTCTTTATATACTATGAATATGACAAGCCCTTTGTTGGTTACATGTGTTGCAGATATCTTCTCTTCTTCTACTGCTTGTTTTCTAATGGTGCCTCTTTAAAAATAGTAGTTCTTAATTTTTTTTTTTTTTTTTTTGAGACAGGGTCTTGCTCTGTGACCCAGGCTAGAGTGCAGTGGCCTCATCATAGCTCACTGAAACCTCAAACTCCTGGGTTCAAGCGAGCCTCCTGCCTCAGCCTCCTAAGTGTCTGGGACAACAGGCGCACACCACCACGCCCAGCTAATTTTTGTTTTATTTTTGGTAGAGAAGAGGTCTCGCTTTTGCTCAGGCTGGTCTCGAACTCCTGAGCTCAAGCGATCCTCCTGCCTCGGCCTCCCAGAGTGCTAGGATTACAGGCTGGAGCCACCAGGCCTGGCCTAGTTCTTAATTTGATGTATTTAACTGCATCAGCATTTTGTTTTGTGATTAGAACTCTTTGTATTCCATATTGACTGCCACACTAGAAAAAAAATTTTTTCCTTGGGGCCACAGTGTTTTATTATAAAAATAGAATAAAAACTTTGAAAATAAAACGATCCTTTCTAATTTAATGAAAAATTTATTTTTGTATTGTTTTCCGTGCATGAGTTATATGCAACTTAAAAAATAGTTCTTTAGGCTCCCAAGGTGAGGAGACATGTGAGTTATATATGCTTCACAAGGCCTGGGGCTCAAAACTAGTGTGAGTTAAATAGAACTCACATGGCAATTAATGTGTTAAGAAATCTGGCTGGATGTGGTGGCTCAGGCCTGGAATCCCAACACTTTGGGAGGCTAAGACGGGAGGATGACTTGAGGCCAGAAGTTCAAGACCAGCCTGGGCAACATAGCGAGACCCTGTCTCTACAAAAAATCTAAAAATTAGCCAGGTGTGGTAGTGCATGCTTGTAGTCTCAGCTACTCAGGAGGCTAAGGTGGAAGGATCACTTAAGCCCAGGAATTCGAGGTGGTAGTGAGCTTGGGCCACTGCACTACAGCCTGGGCAAAAGAAAAAGAAAGAAAAATCTTTTCCTATCCCAAAGTCGTGAAGATATTCTTCTAGAAGATTGTCTTCTGGAAATTTGGTTTAAGCCATTGACATCTAGATCTACAATCCCAAAATTGATTTTTGTTACTGTGTGAGGTAGGGATCGAATTTTATTTTTTTTCGTATAGATACACAGTTGACCCAGGACCATTTCATGAAAACACTGCCCTTTTCCCCATGCTGTGCTATCTTTGTCATAAGTCATGTATCATATATATGTGGATTCCCTGTTATCCCTAATATATTGACTTATTTGCTCAATCCAAAATGCATGATGAAGTAGTTTCAAAATTACTAACACATACTATGCAAAACAAACCTACTTACAGCTCAATATTTGTTCATAATTTTGTTTTTAGCCTGAAGGTAATACATATTTAGAACACTGTGTTCAAAAGTTGCTGAGTTTATTTAAACCCCGCTCCTTAAGTGTGGTTATGTTGCTTATTTGAAAAACAATTAGGTTCATTTGTTAATGTAGTGTTACATTTTGCCCCCCTCCATCTTTGTTTATTTTGTTAATTTTTTTGAGTATGTATAATTAATGTTCTGCAGTCAGATCTATTATGAAAGGTATGCTCAGGGATGTGTCATTTTCCCTAATTTTTTCTACCCAGTGCCCAACCACCCATTATGGGTAACCAATCTCATTGGTTTATCCTTTCTTTGTTTCTGTTTGCATAAATGAATAGATAAACAAGTATTTTCTTATTCTCCCTTTCTTACATAAAAAGTAGCATACTATAGATATTCTTTTATACTTTGCATTTTTTAACTTAACATTATACCGTATGAATCACTCCATAACAGTTTGTAGAGAGCCTAGAGTTTCCTTCTCAGTTTACAGCTGCATAGTGTGCCATTGAGTGAGTATGCCACGGTTGATGGAACCATTCTCCTGTGTATTTTCGTTTGTTTCTATTAATTTGCAATTACAAACACTGCTGCAGTGAATAGTCTTGTGCATGTGTATTTTTCTGTTGGAGGTGCTGCCATTCTTCTTTACTTTGAGATCTCTTTAAATCAGTCCCTTCAAACCGTGAAATTTTAAATTCTGTTCTAGTGAGGCCAACTGCTTTTAGACAAGAGAAAATTAGCTATTTGTGGGACTGGTTGGAGGGGGGGTCACTGATGAAAGAATTGTATCTGTTCCTTTCAGGGGGATAAAACTAAGCCATCCTATCTAAAATATTAAAGTTGTGTTGTAGAAACTGCTTGTTATTTCATTATTTGAGCTTGCTTTTCTTTCTTTCTTTCTTTCTTTTTTTGGTTACTTTCAGGGAAGAAACTTTTTGGTGAAGGCTACAGTGGACTAGAATATGATTATCGAGGCCTCATTAAACTTTACAACTCCGTTGGAAATTATGAGAAAGTGTTCGAATATCACAATGTTCTGTCTAACTGGAACCGGTTGCGAGATCGGCAGTATTCAGTCACCGACGCTCTTGAGGACGTCAACACCAGCCCCCAGTCCACTGAAGAAGTGGTGCAGTCCTTCCTGATTTCTCAGCATGTCGAGGGACCGAGCTGCTGAGGGAGGACCTCAGTTAACCAATTACCTTTTCCCAGATTCCAGGGAATTCATACTGTGAAATCAAAACCATGTTGTTTTTGGGGGCTGGAATTTGCATTGAAACACTGGTCCAGTCCATTGAAGACCCCATTTTGGGTGATCCCTAACTTGCAGAGTGTCTGTAGGAATAAGCATATATTCAGTTATATTCAGCATGAACCGCATGTATAAGTAGTCTGGCCCACATTTTCAACCTAGTAGAACAAACAACAAGAAGTCTTTTTTTCTTTTTAAAAAATAATTCATTTTGCAGAAAGCCTGAAAGAAAAAAAAGAATCCCTAAATAAAATTATTTAAGAGTTTAAAAGAGTTGCATTCTTATTATGTAAGGATGATTTTAACAACTTTTTAACTTATAATTCTTCCATGTGGAGGTATTCAATACTGTATTATAAAGAAATTTTATGGGGAAATCTTTATATGCAGTATATAAAAGTTAACACAAGTACTAATTAAAGAGGGACATCCTGACTTAGGTTTGGCTACCTTACCCAGAGACGTGGATACAACCACTCTCCAGAGCTCTATTACAAGGGAAGGACTGTCAGATTCATCTGAACTGGACCAGTGTTGATCTGTAAGTAATAGAAAATCTGATAGACCAGCAGTTTTAACCATTTTCTTTTTTTTTGGTACAACAATGCAAGATGCTCTGATAGCATTTGCTAATAGGACCAGGAGGATCTAACAAGGACCAGCCTAATGTAGAAGGTGGTTATTTGGACCAGAGGCTTTAGATTATTATTTTAGGCCCTGCATATACTTTTATCAGTAGAATGATTTCATTTAGATGTATAATGAAAAGTGATAATGCAAAAATTATATTCATATAATAGATAACCAAACTAGGGAAATTGGCAATTTCAATGGCATACCTTTAGTCAAGGTACACAGATGGCAATGCCATGGCAATTCTATAAATACTGCAGCCATCCCTCTCATTTTAAATGTTGCCCTGATAATCAGTGAAGTTAACAAGTATTTGGCTGAGAGTCATGAAATAGCTCATGTTCACATGGGAATTTTCAGTTACTGTATGGTTTGTGGGGATTAATGGCAGATGAATGCTAAAAAGTAAGTTTTAGAAAATCCTTCATTTTTATGGTAAATAATAGTACAACTGGGTCGTTTTATTTGAAATTCAGGAGTCAAATAGAAAAATCCCCTAATGATATGTCTATTTCACTATTTTGTCTTTTTGTTTGTTGAGTATTTTATTTTATTTTATTTTTTAAAGCCAGTCAGGTTATTTGAAGTTGAGGTAATATTCAAATTTGAGAATTTGTGACGTGTAGCCATCCCAGAAACAAAAAGGTCTTTTGCTGTTACCTCAATTCTTACTATAGTGGCCCAGCTAATGCCTCTATAGTCAAGAATCTGGGTTTCCCCCCTATTTTCAGGGGTTCATGACTTGGCTGTTAAAGATGTTGCTCCTGGCTAATGCTCGGAGTAGTCTGTGGGTGAGTGGATGTGTGTTGAATTTTGGTTTTCTTTTAACATGCATGTTGGGTGGGAGGGGAAAAAATCAAACTGTCTGCCACATTCAGTACAGAACAATTACTTGGAGATTTCAAATTTTATTTTAAGCACTTTTTTGAACTTTCCTACTAAAAACTTGTTTCAAACTGTTATTTGCAGTCTTGTGAGCCAAGTCCCCAGGAGGAAATTGACTAGGGGGTGTACCTAAAGAGATGGAGCAAACCCACATCCTATGATGATAGAAAGTATGTGATTTAGAAACCTGGGTTTATCCCTCAAATTGCATTATTTTCTTTTTAAATTTTGGGAAAAGTTGGCACAAACCTGCAGTTTGCCAAGGTGGTCTCCTTCCTAGTTAATTGCAATTTAATGCTGAGAGGCTACTCTTTATCAGTTACCAAATAGTCTGTGTGACCAAGGACTAACATTTTTTAAGTTACTCAGCTCTATCCTCATGGGCCTATATATTTAATACCTCCAAAGATATTTTCAGGTTAGGCTTTGTATACTTATTGGTTATTTAGAATCCAGTGGTATGTTTGTGGTATAGGAATGTCATGGTAAATTGTTTTTCAATAAATACTTTGAAACATGTTTCCATATGAAGTTTTTTCCCCCCAATCAACCTGTATTTTTTGGTTTTGTGCACGTACAGCATTTCCTAGGATAAAATCAAGCAAATGACTTACAGCCTCATCCTCCCTAACTCAGTTTGAACTCAGCTCACATTCAGTGATGAAGCAACATGGTATTTAGAAGCCTAGGATCACAGGGTGATATTCAGTGGCAGCCAGTTTTTTTTTTAAACATCATATTGGCAGTTTCTCCTTATCACTACTGCCTTAATGTAGTTTTCTGTAAATCCATACATTTTGATTTAAAGCATATACTCTAGCTTAAGAAAACAGATTTGCCATTTTCTGTTAGGTATATGACTTAATATGCTATTATTTGTGGTTCTGATGAATAATACCATAATTTTAAGTGTAGGATTTACCCTTTCGGTAGGGATGTTTAGGATAAGCTAGAGAGATGAATGTCACCATGATTTATTGGGTTAAAAAAATTTTGAAGAAAAGAATAAAATTTACCTCTCAATAACAGCTTGCACAAACTTTTTACATATGGTGGGGTTGTGTATAAGGAAACCCTGGCCAACTTAAAAGATTTTTCTGGAAGTTCAGCGAAATAATGTTAAATTAGGGGTCTCTTGGTCTCAACCTTCTTTGATTTTTCTTTTCTTCTACCCAGTCTTTTTCCTAAAGTTTGGTGCTACTCAAGTTGGGTGCATCGGGGAGCTCTGTTAACACTTGCATGTGTCACACAGGTGGCTGTTCACGCCTGCACTCAGTTTAATAGAGCCAATTTGGTTTTTTAGAGCATAACTTTTATGGGTCCTCAAAGCTGACTTTGCCCAAAGGATTGGGACCCTTACTACCATTAAATCTCTATCTCTGCTTGGTTAAAAAATGAACTCACTATTGCTTTGTAGTAATGCCTGCCCAGGTATTCTTTCATTTGTGAAAATTAAGGATTTTTTAGAAAAGCCTTTGTTCATAGCCTGTTAGGAAGAGTTCATAATTTTGTGAAAATAAAGTACAGAGGCTGCAATCTTACAAATAATGAGGGGAACATTTGGCTGCTCCTTATAGTACACACAGAAAGCTGAACAGCAAACACATGCCTAAAACATGATTGATGCTTTTGGCCAGAACTTTGCAAATTGAAGGAATGATTTGCTAAGTAGCAAATATTGTTAATTGCCACTTGTTTTTTATGTTTTCCCTAGAATTGGTAGCCTTGCTGCTTCTAAACTTCTTTTTCTGTATGGCAGTTACTACTGGAAAAATGCTAATTTATAAGTACAAATTTTTTTAAAGAGTTGTATTTTTGCTTTAAAAATTAATGTCTATTTCACCTCTTGGCTTTGGAGGACCTCAATTGCCAGGAAATTTTTTTTTTTTTTCTAATAATGACATTTGGATTAATCTCCAGCTTGAACACTAGTACTTCTTTTGTCCACAAATCTCAGGAATGTTTTAGGCAGAAAACTGGTTTTACCCTGTTGATCTGAAGGAGTGTGCTTTAGGATTTATTAAATAATACTATTCTTTAATTGCAATCCTAGGTATCTATAGCATGAGTGGCCTTAGTGAGTTTGTTGAAGTGCACATGTTTTTCAAAAGTAAAATTTAAGATTAAAATATATGCTATATATAGATATCTAGAAAACTTGGTTTGTGGTGCACAGTTAAGTGTTGGATCACTAAATAACCGTTGCAGGTACCATTTGTGTAATATTACTCATTTCTGTATATTCCTTTTATAGGAAAATACGTTGCCATGGTAACTAAAACTTTTCAATTTAGTTCTACTTTTATGATGTGAATGAATGCTACATTTTATTAAATATTACCAGGTCAGTACTATTTTTATACTTTATTAAGCAACAGGGGATTTTAGTTTAATAGGCTCAAAATAAAAAGCTCTTAATGGAACAATTGAAAGCAAATTACTAACAATCTTTACGTGAAAATCCCCACTAATAGTGCCACAGTAATTTCTATAGAAATATCTAAGGTCATTAAATAGATTTTTGAAGACAGTTCTTCATTGTGTCTGAATGACCTTTCATATCATTCTCACCAACTTGTAGTGCCCACCATTATTTGTAACTATTAAACCATACTAAGTATGTTTGTAACCAGCATTGTGATATATTCTGTACTTGTATTGCTAAAAACGAATTATTGACCTAATAAATATAGTGTTCCTGCATTCATAGTGTATCTGTTTCCAATTTAGTTCTGATTGCTTTTGGTTGGGATTTGGGATTATTTAAACTTTGCAGACTGTTTGTGTGAGACAAACTGTTGGAACTAGTACAAAAGTGCTTTTGTTCAAGAAAATTAGGATGTGTGGCTGGGCACGGTGGCTTATGCCTGTAATCATAGCACTTTGGCAGGCCCAAGCAGGAGGATTGCTTGAGTCCAGGAGTTCAAGACCAACCTGAGCAAGAGAGAGACCCCGTCTCTACGAAAAATAGAAAAATTAGCAGGGTGTGGTGGTGTGCACCTGTAGTCCCAGCTACTCAGGAGGCTGAGGCAGGAGGATCTCTTGAGCTCAAGAGTTTGAGGTTGCAGTGAGCTATGATGAGGCCACTGCACTCTAGCCCAGGCTACAGAACAAGTTCCTGTCTCAAAAAAAAAAAAAAAAAACATCGGAAAAGACAAAGCACTACATTAACGCAAGGGGATTTTTTAAGTCTTTACAAAAGTAACTAGAGCATTCTTTTTAGCATCTTCTTACTGTAAAAGGCTGAAGATGGGTGGTTAGAGACCCAGTAAAGTTCTGCTGGGAATAGTGGAGAAAATCCTAGTTTGGGTTTTGGCTCCAGCTCTGTCTCTGAACTGTAGGATTCTGAGTTATATCATTATAGCCCTCTTTGTGTTTTATTTCTTCACATGAATGAACGGGTCAAATTAGGTCTTTTAAAAACTCCACCATGAAACAGCATAAATCTTAATAAGCACTGAAAAAAAGAGTTACAGGAAACGAAGTCATATTTTAAAACATAACAAAAATATTTTAGACAAAATCCCACCTTCAGTTGTAATAGTCAGCACCAGCTTCATTGCCTGCCACCTTCGGCAATACTGAATTTTTAAATCTCCGCGACTTTGAATCTTTGAATATGCTGTTTACTCTTCTATATCGAATGCCATGTCCTGGGTAAAGTCCTACTTATCTATACAGCTCAAATGTCAAGGGAAGTTTGAGTTGCCACTAGGTACTAATACAACATTTTTTTTTTTTTTTTTTTTTTTTTGAGACAACGTCTCACTGTGTTGCCCGGGCTAGAGTGCCGTGGCGTCATCCTAGCTCACAGCAACCTCAAACTCCTGGGCTCAAGTGATCCTTCTGCCTCAGCCTCCCGAGTAGCTGGGACTACAGGCATGCGCTACCATGCCCGGCTAATTTTTTCTATGTATTTTTAGTTGTCTGATTAATTTCTTTGTATTTTTGGTAGAGATGGGGTCTCGCTCTTGCTCAGGCTGGTTTCGAACTCCTGAGCTCAAACAATCCGCCCGCCTCGGCCTCCCAGAGAGCTAGGATTACAGGCGTGAGCCACCGCGCCTGGCCCTAACACAACACTTTATTCAAAGCTTTGTTAAAGCAATTACCATTACAGCCATGTAACTTACTAGTATGGAGACTGTTTCCAGTTTGTAAACTTTGCTTATTTGTGCATTTATTCAACAAGGTTAATGCAGTATTCACCCTGTGACATATTATTCTCCCAGTTATTTTAAACACCTTTATTTGTCTATCTATATATTTATCTATTTGTTTGTTTCTTTGAGACAGGGTGGAGTGCACTGGCAACATGGCTCACTGTAACCTCGAACTCCTGGGCTCTAGCAACCCTCCTGCCTCAACCTCCCGAGTAGTTGAGGGTACAAGCATGAGTCACCACACCTGGCTAGTTTTTCTTATTTTCTGTAGAGACAGGGTCTCGCAATGTTGCCCAGGCTAGTCTTGAACTCCTGGCCTCAAGCAATCCTCCTTTCTCAGCCTCCCAAAGTGCTGAGATTACAGGCATGAGCCACCATGCCGGGCCTGAGTATAATTAATATTAGTGAATTGTACACTTAAAAATAGTTAAGATGGTAAATTTTATGTGTATTTTATCACAGTTTTTTAAAAATCAAGACAAAGGCTTTTAATTTGCATAAGCAGTTAAGTATGATGCATAGTTTGGAAAAAATCTGTGGTCACTTCCAGACAGTGCTTTGATAAATATCTAGTGTGATTTATTTCTGAATTAGAACTTTGACGTAACATGTCAAAGTTGGTTTGCATTTAAATTCCTTCTCAGTACAGAATCAGGCTTTGTTTTTCACTCTTGCTGCTATTTAAATAGTTTCGGTATTTTTCTTTCCTATTACTTAGTGACTGGTTATTTCTCTTTATGATGCTAAGAATGACCCACATGTTGCCTACTGTTTAACTGGACCATGAGATTTTTAATACCATTGTCTATTTTTCATTTCTAAAAGTTGGTTCTTTTTTGAATTTGTTTACTCTTTTCCTATCACATTCTATTTTGTTATTGTAGTTTTGTTTGTTTGTTTGTTTTGAGACAGGGTCTCACTGTCTCCCAGGCTAGAGTGCAGTGGCATCGTCATAGCTCACTGCAACCTCAAACTCCAGGGCTTGAGCGATCCTCCTGCCACAGCCTCCCAAGTAGCTGGGACTACAGGCACACACCACCATGCCCAGCTAATTTTTCTATTTTATAGAGACAGAGTCTCACTCTTTCTCAGGCTGGTCTCGAACTCTTGGCCTCAAGTGATCCTCCCATCTCAGCCTACCAGAGTGCTAGGATTACAGGTGTGAGCCACAGTGTCCGACTTTCTTTTTCTTTTTCATTAAATCCCAACCCTACATGGACAGACCCATGGACCAGAACAGAAGGTTCAGAAATAGACCCAAATAAGGAATTTAATATATAATAAGGGTGGCATTTCAAATAAGTGCAGAAAAGATGGATTTTTCCCCAATACGATAAAGCCTATAAATACACTCCCATATATGCAAGAACAACTGTTGAGCTAGCAAAAAAATATATATATATATTGATTCCTACATACAACTTAAACCAAAATAAATGTCCAGTTAATGATTTAAATGTAAAGACAAACCTGAAGATTGCTAGAAAGAAACAGGAGAATTTTAAATATTAGAACTCTGATTAGGGAAGGCCTTTCAAAGTCAAAAAACCATAAAAGAGTGATTATTTACATAAAAATAGAAAATGTCTGCATGTAAAAACAAGAAGACAGTATAAAGTCAGAAGACGGGGAGCACTGTGTGTAGAGTCAGGAGGCCTGGCCAGTCATCATCTCAACTCAGCTGTTCCAGGCCCTAACCCCCTGTTTTCTTCTCTGTAGTTTCCTTCACAAGTTTGACGGGAAAATTCAATGAGAATGGATGCAAAACACTTTGCCATCCCTCCTGGGTTACATGCATTTGTGATACTGTTGCTATAAAAAGCAAACTGTGGGTGACTCCTGGCAGACTGGGATTGGAGTGGGTCAGGCAATGTTCAGTCATTATGTTTGTGGTTAGGAGCCTCTTCTCTTTAGAACTTTAGGGAAAGTGCCCCTTATTTTCTTGGAGACAGACTCTTCTTGGAGGGCTGTCTGGTCTGGCCATTTTATCCAGGGCAAGCCTTACCCATAAGGCAACGTAGGCCAAGGTATGATTTGGGGATTCCCACCAAGCCTCCCTACTTTCCAGAAGCTTCCTCCAACCACCTGTTTCTGGTGTCCCCAAGTCTTGAGGCCCAAGTCCACCATTATAGAGTCATACTTTGGACAAAGATAACTAAGAAAATAAAATCCTAGAAGTAATACATTTAGTCTTGTGGGTTATTTATATTTTGTGAGAAATGAGTGTGTTGACCAAGAGTAGGTGGTAGGTGGATCATATGTCATTGGTGTATGGGAAGTGTGCTGGCCTGGGGGACCTCAGGTTTGAGTTCTAGTTCAGACCTGTATGACCCTGGAGAAGTTACTTTTCTTCTTGGTCCTCTGTTTTCCCCTCTGAACTAGGAAGTGGTTATTCAAAATCCTCTCTTTTGAGGCCGGGCAAGGCGGCTCACACCTGTAATCCTAGCACTTTGGGAGGCCAAGCCAGGCAGGATCGCTTGAGGTCAGGAGTTTGAGATCAACCTGAGCAAGGGCAAGACCCCATCTCTAAAAAAAATGGAAAAATCAGCCGGGCGTGGTGGTGCGAGCCTGTAGTCCCAGCTATTCAGGAGGCTGAGGCAGGAAATGGCTTGAGCCCAGAAGTTTGAGGTTTCTGTGAGCTATGAGGACTCCACTTCACTCTAGCTGGGGCAACAGAGGAAGACCCTGTCTCAAAAAAAAAAAAAATTATCTCTTTTGGTTCATTCATTCAATGAAAATTTGTTAAGTATCTACTATGTACTGGGTATATTGTAATTGCTTGGGATACGGCAATAACAAGACAGACAAAAATCTCCGCCCTTGTGGAATTTACATTCTAAGGGAAGAAGACAAACAGCAAAGATAATCATTAAATAAATTATATGGTATTTGAGGGGTCTAAGTGCTTCAGGAAAACAAAAACACAAGAGTATTCAGAGTGTGTGGGGGGGGGGTTGCAATTTTAAACAAGGGGACAAACTGGGCCACATAGAAGAGGTGACATTTGAATAAAGATTTGAAGGCAATGAAGGAGTTAGCCTTCATGGATATGTTGGGGAAGGGCATTCCAGATGGAGGAAACAGCCAGTGAAAAGGCCCTGTGGCAGTAGTGTGCTTGGCAAGTATGAGAAAAGTAATGACAAATACTCTGTGAAACGAAGAGCTGTTGGAGGGTTTTGAGCAGAGCAATAATGCATGAACTGCTTTTTGGAATTCTAAGATCCTACTGAATTTGAGGAAAGAGTTAAGAGGACTCCAAAACCAAGCCTCACCTTTTGCCCGTTTTGCCTTCGGACCTCCCGACTGTTCTCAAGGATGACACGAGGCTTCCCCAGCCCCCTTCTCTCCGTCTTCAACTTTGCACGCGCACTGCACTGGTTGCAAGAGCAAGGCTGTAGTGCCCCACAACTCCTCTAGGTGGCAGTGCTGCCCCGCATACCGGGCACACCTCTCTTTTGGACAGCTCCCAAACAGCCGCATTTCACTGTCAGTGAAATCTCTCAGGAGTAGACAAAATTGGAGAGCCCCTATCATTGTGGACACGCTCCAGCCAGCCTGCCCTTCCCTCTGAAACGCTCCCTGCTTTGTCAAAGCTGTCAGGGAGCAGCCAAGCGAGGCTGACCCCAGGCCTGTGCCTCACCAGTCTCATCTTGCCCCTTCCAGGAGGCGATGGCTGTTAGGAAAGAGATGCGCTGCTTCCCATCCCTTTTTCCACACCATTTTGCTTCCCTGTGCCTGTTCTTCAAGACTACGCTGATGCTCATTTTAACATTTTAAGTCTATGATGATATCCACTCCTGAATACAAACTGAAGGAGGGGAGGAGAAAGAGTCGCACACCTTTGCCCTGGTCCTCCCTGCTCCAGGGCAGCACTGGGCCCCATATGCTGCTGCCTCAGGCAGAACCCTGATTAACCTGGCTGCTGTGCTTCTGGGAATGATTGGACCCGCTTCCCCTCCTGGGGTTGACTACCATCCGGTGTCTCTAGCCAGAACCAGTGCACCATCTCCACTTCCTCCTCCTCCCTCCCTCCCTTTTCTCAGCTCCCACATCTGTCACTAAAAACTGTCAATTTTACCTTATGTAATCTCACAAATTCACTACTCTCCCTTTTCTGCACACCCTCGTTGCCTTTGTGTACTCCAGGGGTAGCAAATTATAAAGGATACGAGGCTCGCGCAGGTGATCTAAATGAGCGAAATGGCCAGTGGGTAAGGCAATAGGGAGGGCTGAGCACTGTGGTGAACTGGAAAGTGCATCAGCGAAGCCCACGCAACTCCTCGGCCCCAGCGGGTTGTCATGTATGAATGAAGGCCCAAGTGTGGGCAGTTTTTACGAGAAGCCAGAAACCTGTTGTTTTTAATGTGAAATGTGCCAAGTTTTTTTTTAAGAGACAGAGTCTCGCTATGTCGTCCAGACTGGCATGCAGTGGCTATTCACGGGCACACTCATAGCTCCCTGCAGCCTCAAACTCCTGACCTCGAGGGATCCTCCCATCTCAGCCTCCTGAGTAGCTGGAGCTACTGATGTGCACCACCATGCCCAGCATGCCAAGTTTTTTAAATATTAGCAACTAATTTTTTCTTTAATGTTTTAAACAAGTACACCACCAGGGACAAACAAAACACACTGATGCTCTGATTTTAGCACACGGACTGAAATTTTTGACCACTGGCTTGAACCACCATCCCAGCTAAGACTGTCAGTGTTGTTTTGTCTGTGGTCCTTGCCTCCAGGCTCACAGTCACCAGAGTAGCTCCCCAGTACCCAAGTCACACCAGTTCATTCGCTGCTTGACGCCTCCCTTGTCACTGCCAGCCCCAAGTTACCCACAAAATGAAGTCCAGATGGTTTGGGCAAGCTGCCAGGCCTGTCGCTCTCTGCCTGACCCCAGGCACACTTCCTGCTCACCTGCGCTCCTCACCTGCGTGCTCCCCTGGCAACCACCCGGCTCCTTTGTTACCTCCCCGGAAGCTTCCCGGTCACCTGTATTCATCAGGTCTCTCTACTGTGTCTGTCTCCCCCACTAGACTGTGGTGGTCCTTGACACAAGTGACCACATTTTTCTCACTCATCCGTGCATACGTGGAGCACCTGCCACTTAGAAGGTAGCTGGCGAATATTTTCTAAACAAATAAAAGAAGGAATGATGACTGTTATCCAAGTAAAGTAGAAATGTCTTAAGGATGTTTATTTCCCACCCCATTTGTTCACAATTAAGGCCCGAGCATCCTTTCGCTAAGGACAATTTTCTTGTTTGCCCTCTCTAGTGCCCTCAGGTGCAGAGGGGTTGCCGACACCGAGTGCCCTGGAGCCAGGGTGACCTGGCCCTCTGCGCCAGCGGGTCTTCTTACGGACAGGTTTCTGGAGTTTCTGGGGATTCCTTAATCCTCTTTCTCTTGAGTTTTGGTTTTTGAGGAAGTTTCCTTAAAGAACCTGAAAAAGGGAAGGTCAGAGACAGTCTCCATGACATCAAAAACAGTAAGAGAATCTCAGTCTGTAACATCTGGGGGGTGAGGGGAGGAGAGAGGAAGAAAAACAAAGTCTTATCTTCTGACCTTTGTCACTCTTTACTCACAGAAACCCTGTGAGGTAGGGAGATGGCAACAGCCCCAGTTTTCAAATGAGGACTCTCACCTAGGGCCAGAGGAAGGAGGCGACCTGCCCAAAGCCTCACGGCAGGTCGGGGGCTGCCTGCATTAGGCGCAGCCAGCCAGGCCTGCAGAGGAACACCTGGGTCCACCTCAGGTCACCCTCCTTCCCCACCTTCACCTTCCCCAGCAGGAGCTGAGCAAGGACAGCTAACTGTGGCCCCAGAAGCCAGTTCCAGAAGAGCGAGGAGTGGACGGGGCAACATCTCTCTGCACCTGGGTGCACAGGAGAGGCCCTCATGGGTACCAGCCTTGGCTGGGGCCCCTCTCACTAAAGAGGCTCTGTCCCCTAACCCCACAGCTTCCATCCAGAAAGCCGGACACTGAGGTCACCGCAGAGGCCGAAGCTGCTGGGAAAGCCATTCCCAGCCCAGCTGTCTGGGCTCCCCACTCACTGGAGGAATAAATGCCTTCCTTCTCCCTGGGCCCCGCCCTCCCCTCATAGGGGTGTCCTGCTGTTGCTGCTTGCGCACTCTCGGTCACTTAGAAACTGTCTCTACTATGCTTCTAGTCGAATGGGAAAGTGCCTTTGTTTAAACATTAACTGAAAAACGCAGGAGTGAAAACTGTGTGTATTATGAGACCTCTGCTGGGGAGGATATACAGAACACTGAAGGAAACACACAAAAATGTTAATAGTGGTGGCCTGGGCGGGGGGCAGGGGGGTGTGATTTTCCTCTCCTTCTCTACGCTCATCTGTACGTTTTAAACTTTCTCTCATGAGCACACTGGTGGTGGGGAGTGGGGACTAAAAAGAGAAGAGAGTAGAGAAGGGGAAGGAGAGAAGGACAGGAAGAAAATTACAGGATGAAGAGAAGATGGAAAGGAAGGAAGAACATGTCAGGCTCACGGCAGTGGCTCCTGGCTGCTAGAGTCTGCTGCAGGGAGGCGCGCAGACACCATTCGCAAACCCTTCGCCCAGGCACTGCCCCACGCCAGTGGGCGTTACCTGTCTTGACATCGGCCTCGGCCTGGGATGTTGGCTCCTCCAGCAGGGAGGCCTCTTGACCTGGGGGCTGCATCTTGGACAGCCTCTGCTTCACGCCGCTGAGGTCGCTGTGCAGCCCCCAGGCGTTGCAGAGCTTGGGCAGACTGTCCTCCTGGCCGGCCAGCAAGGAACTGTCAGGTGTGTCCAAGGGAGAGAACGCCGCCTGCAGCAGGGCCGCAGTGTTGGGTGTAAATAAGAAAGAGGCCTGCATTCCGGAGTCCCAGCCCTGCACTTGTCAAGAAAGTGCTGAGATCTGGCTGCACCTCACACCTGCCCAGCCAAAAGGAGGGGGTGAGAAAGGACCGTGGGGACATTGAGACCACACTGCCTACTGTCACTTCTTGGGTTGTCCTTTGTTTTGTAATCATGTCCTCCATCTCTTTCTGGAATCGTAATGTCTTATTGGTTTGTAATGAAACAATGGTACGTGTTCTAAAGTCCTAACTTAGCAAAATTTAAATTGAGAGCCTGAAGATCGGTTTTGGAATTTTTCTGGCCAGTGAAATCCGGAAATCTAGAAATAGTACAGTGGCCGCTCCTCCTATTCAGAGGAGGAATCACTGAAGTGATGCAACCATTCACGTTCAGAGGAAGAAACAGAGATGCAGTGAGGGACAGGACTGGGTTAAAGCTGCACAGCAAGAGCAGCGGTGTGGGGTGTGGTTAGAGCAGGGCTTTCATCTGAGCCAGGCAGAGGTCAAATCCCGTCTCTTCCTTCCCACTTGCTGCGTGGCCTGGGACAAGTTGCTTGACTTCCCTGAATTTGGGATCTTCATTTACAAACTGTGGACAATAATCCTAATTACCATTTAGGGTTACTTTTGAAGATTACACGAGGGAACCTAAGGTGCCTGGCACAGAGAAGGCTTTTACAGCTGCTACCTATGATTATTATCAATATTTTGGACCAGTGGTTCTCAAAGGGTGCTGCACGTTCTTGAAATATTTTTGACCTCACAGACCCCCTGAAAAGTAGAGTCCATGTAAAGTGCAAGAGAGAGACCAGTGGAGTCTAATGAGACCTAGTGTGAAAAGTGCATTGACATGAACCTGAAAAGGCTGCATACTCTGTGATGTCAACTATATGACGTTCTGGGAAGGCACAACTATGGAGACAGTGAACCTGAGATCAGTAGTTGCCAGGGCCTCGGGGTGCGGGGTGGGGGCGGAGAGAGGGATGAACAGGTGGAGCACAGCGGGTTTTAGGGCAGTGCAACTCTTCTGTGTGATACTGTAATGGCGGACACATGCATCATACATTTGTCAAAACCTACAGAATGTACAACACAGAGTGAACCCTAATGTAAAATATGGACTTTAGCTCATCATAATGTATCAATGTTGTCTCATCAAGTATAACAAATGTACCACTCTAAAGCAAGATGCTAATAATTGGAGAAACAGGGAGGGGTGAGGAGTATATGGGAGCTCTGTACTTTCTACTCATTTTTTCCTGAAACCTAAAACTGCTAAAAAAAAAAAAAGTCTATTAATTTCAAAAAGTTCCTTGATACGGTTCAGATTCCACGTTGCAATTCAGAAACTGCCACTTGTTGAGTTTTGGTGTGGTATCAAAGAAAAATACCCACAATTACCTGGAAGCACCAATAATATGCTCCTCTCTTTTCCAACTGTATATCTGCGAGACTGGGTTTTCTTCGTGTACTTTAACCAAGTCGATATATTATGTCATAAGAGATTGACTTTGAAAGCAGATATGCGAATAAAGCCGACTTCTATCAAGCCAGACACTAAAGAGATTTGCAAAAATGTAAAACATGGCCACTCTTCTCACTTATTTGGATTTTTTTGGGAAAATATAGTTATTTTCCATAAAAATAATTATTTATGTTAACATGTAATGGGCTCCTTGTTTGATTTTCAAACCAATTAGCAAATACATGTTTTAACTTTTTCTTTAGCTTTGCTTTCTAATAGGACAAATATTAAGAGATATAACCCACATAAATGGTTTTGGGGTTCTCAATGATATTTAAGAGGGTGAACGTGTCCTAAAACCAAAATGTTTGAGAACCACTGTTTCTGGGCAAAGTCAGGCCAGGCTCTGTCGGCAGCCCCAGGAGACTTTGCCAAGCCGGCTGAGCCTCTCTGCCTGGCCTCACTGTCCTTGCCCCTGCTGACATCACGGTGTGGGTGTGGAGGGCGAATAAACACAGAGATGTGATGCTGAGCCTCTGCCCTCTTCAGCCCCGCGCTGTGCTGGGCGCAGGGGCAAAGCAGCGGCAGTGCAGTCTCAGGCAGTGAGCCCAGGCAAGGACCGGAGGGACACTGGGGGGTCTCAGAGGGCCGCTCAGCCCCAGGCCTTCCCCCCTCCCCCGGCCGCAGTCCAAGAACACACCAACCAACCCTCAGCCGGGCCCAGGAGGAGCTCTCCCCCGCCTCACCAGAAACTTGGCTGTCTGGTTGCTCTTGATGTACTTGTAGAGCCGGCGAAGCTGCTTGGCTTCCAGTTCTGAAAAGAGGGAGACGAATCGCCAGAGCATCCTGCGGGGGAGAGACCCACGGCTGAGGGGACGTGCATAGCCCTTCCTCCTCCAGCAATTGTCATGGGGACAGGACTTACCCAGGGAGAAACGGGCCATGTGCTTGGCTTGGGGTTGGGGGCACAAAGAAGCGGGGATTTGCTGGAACTTGAATATCCCGTCCTAGTGATGAGCGCCTGCACAGTGGCTGCTCAACCCGAGGTCATTCTCCTCAGGGTTCAGGACAGGTCTTTGGCCACTGCAGGTATAGCTGAGGTGCAGTCAGTGCTGCTAACGAGTGACTAAGGGGACCTAGTTCTCTCCACCCCTGCCACCCCCTCCAGGATCCTGATTCCTCCACACAAAGATGAAAGACTGGAGGATCTTGGCTAAGCTATGACCTTGAATGGAGAGGGGGTGGCCCAGGAGTGGGTATGGGGGAAGGGCAAGGAGGCTGCCCTACTTCCTCCAGTGTTTGATTTCCCAGGCTCGGCAGTAATGCTGCAGAAAGGTGTTGATGTGGTCCCCTAGGACCACAAGACTCTGCTTCATGTACTTTAGCTTCTTCTTCTGGGGAAGGTCCCTGGGCAAGTGCAACTTTCGCAGGAACTTCTTCAGCGGCCTTAGGTATTCTTTACACTGAGAAGGCAACAGGCGAGGTCAGGGGCCATGGGAGAAAAAAAGAGGCAGATGGGCAGGCCTCCAGCAGATTGGCCTGGCTGCAGCCTTTAGTGGCCCAGGAAGGGTTGTGTGTGTTTAGTGAGGCGGCTCCAGTGGACCTCTCACCCCACGTCCTTCCCAAGAGTGTGACAAGTGGGGCAATGAGTTGTGGGTCTGAGACCTGCCAATTCCTGACTCAGGTCTCCTGACTCATAGGGAACAGAGGACAGGGTTCCAGGCTGGCCTCTTACAATTTTGAAGGTGTCCTGGTCCAGGCCTTTGGCATGGCACACGAGTGAGTCTCCGGCGGGGATGGTGCTGGAGCTCCTTTCTAAGCAGGGCACATTTGTCACCTGGGAGGAGACAAAGGGAAGTCAGCTGGGGGCTTGAGCCACTGCTCCTGAGGGTAGCTCTGGGCAAGCACTACCCAAATGGCAGCCAGAGCCCTTCTCCATTGTCCCTGTGATCCTGTTCTTGACTCAGCACTGATGTGAGCGAGCCCTGGACAAAGAAACGCATCTCAGAGAATCTCTGCTTAGAAAATTTAGAATATTCTACCTATTTATTTTATAATAAACAGCACATATTATACCAGGTAACTTTGCAAAGCACTTGATAGACATTAACTCATTTTATCCTCCCACAAATCTTGTGAGGTTGGATATCATTATCCCTGGTTACAAATGAGAACACTGAGGCACCAAAAGGTTTACGTGACTCCTGGGGGCAATGAGCACAGGTTCAGTTACTCCTCATTCAGCAAACATGCATTGACTGCCTAAGTCCCAGGCCCATCTCTCTGCATCCCTACATTTGGCATCATGCCATGAAATCTAAGGGGCACTCAGAAAAAATGGGTGGGGGCGTTGATGAGAGAGAACCTTTTGAAAGCAAAAATCGGGCAAAGAGGGCTGGGCGTGGTGGCTCATGCCTGTTATCCTGGCACTCCGGGAGGCCGAGGCAGGAGGATCACTTGAGCCCAGGAGTTGGAGGCTGCAGTGAGCTGTGATGATAACGCCACTGCACTCCAGCCAGGACAACAGAGTGAGATTCTATCTCAAAAAAAAAAAGTGTGGCAAAGTGAGAAATAATACTAGAATTCAGATAATTCCAATCATTATTTCTAGTATTCCAATAATACCAGCCTTGGATTGACATGACTAGATTTGCACTTCACCATTCAAAGGCCTCTCTGAAAAGTAAGCATTAATTCCTGTCTGTGTTCAGGGGAACAAGGAAGGCCGGTGCCCAGACTGCTCCGAAAGAAAAGACCAGGGGAAAGGGAGGCAGGTGGGTGGACAGGAGATGGGACACAGGCTCCTCCAGGCCCCGGAGGGCACTCTGGCTGACCAATTCCCTGAACACAGCACACACACCACACAACCACACACACACACACATACACACACTTGAGACTTCATAACCAGCAATGAGATGTGACTCCTTCCCATCATCTTGCCAGGAATACAGGGCTTTGATAAACATCCGAATGAATTAACGTCCTCTTGGTCTTTAGGCTTCTTGCTAACTCATGTGCCCTACCATTTTTCCTTCTTCTCTTCTTCCTTGAATTTCATGTTCTCTGCTTTCCAAAACCAGCCGCTGAGTGACCCTCCTTCCCTCCGTCACATCCCCAGCCCCACTTCACCTTCTCTAGTGGTTTGTCCCCTTCACCCCCTTGCCCATCTGAGGCCTCCATCTCAACAGGTGTGCAGGTAGGCTCCAGGGTGGCACTCCTCACGTCCCCTCCGGCTTCTGACCTTCTGCTTCTGTGACCTGAGCTTTCAGGGAGTGGGCAGGTCGGCTCCAGAACTCGGAGCAAAACCATGGCAACTGCCAACACGGAGCCTAGCCCCCTCCCCCACCATGCCCTCGTTCCTAAGGGTGGCCACCAGCCATCTCCTCCAACTGGGAACTGGACTAGGGAACTGAGTAAGATGTGCCCGGGAGACCCAGGATTTTGGCCCTGGCAGCTGGCCAGGAGGGGCTGGCACCCCTTCTCCCAAGAGCACTGTCGGATGCTGTTGATTTGAACCCCGGGGAGCTCGTGAAGTGAGGTTCCTGCCTGTGGACCATTCCCGCCTCCTCAGTTACACCGTGGGCTCCCTCAGAGTGAGGAACAGGGCTTGTAACATCTTTTCCGAACTTGGGAGAAGGACTAGAGGGTGCGCTGAGAGAAGGGAGTAACAGTAAATCTCTACTGGGATGCATCTCTTTTGTGTCCCTCTAGCCTCCAGGAAGCTGGGTGTTGGTTGGGTGGTGTTTTTAGGGGGTGTACAAAAATCCCAGCCACCGTGTTATCTCATTAACCTTCACAGCCTTCCGTGGGGTGGGTGCCCGCAGTGACCCCATTCCAAAGAAGAGGAGCCGAGATGCGCAGAGCTCCTGCCACTTGCCTGAGGTCCGCAGCCACTGAGTGGGGTGCGGGGGTTCGGATCGGAGTCCGGCCGCTCTGGCTTCTCCCTCCGGCGTGCCCACTGGGGAGCCGAGGCTGAAGTGACTCATCAATCCGCCGGGCCGGGGGCGCTCGGGGATCCAAGCCGGGAAAACCTCGGCCCCATCGCGGCAGAAGCGCCGCCTCGCGTCCCTGAGCAGCGCGCACCGCGGGTTACGGGCCATGGTACGACCGTTGCGGCCGCAGTTTACTCACTTAAGCCACATCGTCCTCCCTGGAACGCTGAATCCCATCTCCTGGGCCTCTCTTCGTGTCCTCTGGGCCCGGGGCCCAGTTTTCGCCACCCAGTTTGACCCTGTTCTTCCTCTGCCTTCGCGGCACCGGGTCGGACCTCCGAGGGCCAGCGGAGCCGGGGCTGGGGTCCTGCCGGACGGTCGCCCCCGGCCTCCCTCTCGCCATCTAGCGGCGGTTCTGGCACATGACGGGGCACTGTGACTCCGGACCGCTTTAAGCGGGTAGGCAGGAGGCGCGGGAGGGAGGGTGGAGTGGGGAGGAGTTGGTTGAGTTCCCTTTGAGTCCCGAAACTCATTTTAAGCTCTTCTCTATGCCTGCATGTTTAGCAAATGTTTTTGATTTTTTTTTTTGGAGGAGAAGGAATAAAAGTTCTCACTTCACTGCCTCCAAACTAGAAGGTCTGTTTTGTGAGCATTGATTCCAGATTATTTTGCAGCTATGAAGAAAGATAATTATGTTGGTAAGAGCAAGGGGAAAGGAGCCCTCATATACACATCTATTGGGAGTGATAATTGGTAAACGATGTATTTAAAAATTTTAAATGTGCATTCCCTTTGACCCACCAATTCTACTTCTAGAAATTAGTCCTAAGGAGAGAAGATAATGAGAACTGTTAAAATAGTGACAATTTGGAAATAACTGAAATGTCATCAATAAGATAAATAAACTATGGTGTATTTGTAAGAAGCATTAAAAATGCTACTATATATCTATATTTATTGATGTTAATGGGAAAAAAAAACTCCATAAGATAATTTAAAGAGGTTTATTCTGAAGCAAGATGAGTGACCATGGCCCACGGATCCACAAATAAGACTTGAGTTAGTGTTCCCGAGGCATTCAGGTTACAGTTAGGTTTCATACATTTTAAGGAGACAGGAATTGCAGGTAAAAACATGAATCAATACACGGAAGGTATATATTTGTTTGGCCCTAAAAAGCAGAAAATTTCAAATCAAGGGCTTATAGGTTATAGGTGGGTTCAGAGATTCTTTTGGTTTGTAATTGGTTAAAGAAAAAGCTTCATCTAAAGCTGCGGTCCCCAACCCTGGGCCATGAACTGGCATCGTACTGGCATGGGTCTGGGGCCTGCCAGGAAGCGGGCCGCACAGCAGCAGGTGAGCGGCAGGCCAGGTGGAATCCCCACCTGCACCCACAGCAGCTCCCCGTCACTGGCATCACCGCCTGAGCCCCACCACACCCCCAAATCAGCAGCAGTGTCAGACCCTCATAGGAGTGGGAACCCCACTGCAAACTGCGCATGCAAGGGATCCAGGTTGCACGTTCCCCATGAGAATCCACCTCCCGATGATCTGATGTGCAGCCTAGGTGGTAAAGCAAATACCGCCCCCCAAAGACCTGGAGTCAGTAGAAACAAATGCTTGAATTAAGATAAGGGGATTTGTTAATCAGAGCAAGCAAGTTAAGCAAGCTGATGGCCTGCAAGCTGACTTAACATTTGCCTTGCTTGGCCTTAGGTCGAGCATTCCAGCGTGCAATTTGTCTGAACTCCAAAAGGGAAGGGGTATAAGGAGGCGTGTCCAATCTCCCTTCTCTTCCTGGCTCAGTTTTAAGGTTTTTCTGGGGTCCTCTTGGCCAAGGGGGGGGGGTGTCTGTTCAGTTGGGAGGGGCTTGGGATTTTATTTTTAGTTTACATTGACATAGAAAACAAGAACTAAAACAGCATGTATAGTATGATCCCATTTTTGTAAATATGTATTTATGTGTGCATAGCAAAAAGTCTTGAAGGATATACTTCAAAATGTCAAGGGTGATTTTTCACTTTCTTTGCATATTGTTTGCATTTGAAAAAATAACAATGTGTTTTACTTTTACAGTCAGAAAAGAGTCTTTTTAAGAAATCTCCTCGGCCAGGCGCAGTGGCTCATGCCTGTAATCCTAGCACTCTGGGAGGCCGAGGTGGGCGGATCGTTCTGAGCTCAGGAGTTCGAGACCAGCCTGAGCAAGAGCGAGACCCCATCTCTACCAAAAATACAAAGAAACTAATTGGACAGCTAAAAATATATATATAGAAAAAATTAGCCGGGCATGGTGGCGCATGCCTGTAGTCCCAGCTACTCGGGAGGCTGAGACAGTAGGATTGCTTGAGCCCAGGAGTTTGAGGTTGCTGTGAGCTAGACTGATGCCACGGCACTCGCCCCAGGCAAGAGAGTGAGACTCTGTCTCAAAAAAAAAAAAAAAAAAGAAATCTCCTAAGGACTAAATAACATCATTAAAAACATTATTTAATGCTAAGCTTGAAAACAGAACACAAAAGGGTATGTACATTACAACTTAAAAGTGGATACAATATGGATCAAGGCTGGGAGAAAATACAGTAAAAAAAAGAAACATGAAATTGAATATATACATATGTATAGATACATGAATATATATGTATCTGTGCATGTAGGTGTATATATAGCCCTGAATATCTACAATTCAAAAGGGGGAAATAAATGTTAGAACTTCAAATCTTAGCTGTCCCTGCCCAGTCCCTCACCCCACTCCACCCTCCTTTTCTGTCCCAGAGCCTCCAGCAAGCCCTAGGCTCTGGATGGCTGCCCTATTCTCATAATGGTTTTATTATCAACCACAGGGAATAGCCCAAAGAGACAATTGAACCTAACAGCAGCCAGGAATAATGGCTCAATTCACAACATTAACTAAGACAAAACAAAAATCCATTGCCTTTGGGAGACATTGTTCAAAATTCAATTAGTCAGCATAAAATGACTCCATAGTGCAAGCCAACTCGTTCAACAAAGTTATTTCCTGACCCCCTCACATTTATTTTTTAAAAAACAACAACCAGCTGTGCGCTAGGTACTCAAGGCATCTGGCAGATAGGTAGTGTTAATTTGTCCACCCTCCACTTTATTATTACTATTTTTTTTTTTTTTAGAGACAGGGTCTTACCCTGTGGTTCAGTGGCTGGAACAAAGCTCACTATAACCTCGAGCCCTGGGCTCAAGCCGTCCTCCTGCCTCAGCCTCCTGAGTAGCTGGGACTATAGTAGGGTGCCATCATGCCCACCTAATTTTTAAAAATTTTTTTGTAGAGACAGGGCCTCACTATGTTGCCCAGGCTGGTCTTGAACTCCTGGACTGAAGTGATTCTCCTGCTTTGGCCTCCCAAAATGCTGGGATTATGGGCATGAGCCACCATGCCTAGCCGCCCTCCACTTAATGCAGGCTGGCATGCTCCTTGATGGCACAGACCAATTTCATAATCATAATGCTTCACCCCGATCCCCCAGAGCACATAATAGAGCTCATGAAATTCTTGTTATATGTCCTGAATTAAGTGAACATGGAAAATAACTCTTAGCAGCTACTGCTTACATTTCCCCTCATAAATTTGAAGATCTGCCCATCTCTCTCCAGGTTAAACAGTGACACAGAAACTTTTTATTCCCCTAAAGAACTCTCCTCTATCCCTTTTCTGGATAAGTAACTCAAGCATATTTTAGAATTGCCAAAAGAAGCCTCTTGATCTTGCTCCCAATTATCCAATTAGAATTGTACCAAGACTCCAGGAAAAGGAAGGCCAAATTCCTATCATAGCTGGAATGCTGGGTCTGCAGAACAGGCTGACAGGTCCCAGGCGAAGCATGGCATTCCTATTCCAAGGCCACCACTGTTTGAATCACTATCTAAGACAGAGTCTTTTTTTTTTTCCTTTTATTTCAGCATATTATGGGGGTACAGATGTTTAGGTTACGTATGTTGCCCTTGGTCCCCCCCCAAGTCCGAGTAAGACAGAGTCTTTTAACGGATCCACTAATGGCCTCAAGGGAGTCAACAAACCTTTGAAACTCTATCCAGTGAATTGTGTACGAGGACTCACCGAAGAGGTCTGTAGCCCCAAAGACATTAGAAACCAATGATCTAACAGGTCTAAGTGTGTGGACCTTCTTCTCAGCAGTGGTTTTGGGGGTTAGATGGGTCTTTAACCCAGGCAAACCTTCAAATAGAGGCACTAATAGGGCTATTCTTGAGAGAAAAAGGGCAGAGCAAGAAAGC